GCCAAGCACTTTCATTTCTGAAACCCCTCACTTGCCTGGACAGTACCAGCAGGTTTAAATGGATTTCCTCTGTCCCCCTTGTCTTAATTACTTTATTCTTATCTGAAAGCAAATTCAGAGAACTACAACTAAAATAAACATCCCCCTCTTTTCTTGGAAATTCAGATCCCTGTTTGTTAAACATGCCTGTGACCTCCCAGGTTAATTGAGCAACTTTCTGATGCAGCTTGGGGGTGAACCTCTCCTCTAGTTTGGTGTCAGATGGCAAAGCCAGGAGGAGGAGGCATTTCCTGCTGGAAATGAGAACAGGGATGAGCAGCCCTGGTAGTGCTGCCTGCATGGGGCATCTGTGCCAGTGCCCCTCTCCAGGAGCAGGAATTGTTGATGTCACTGAGCTGCTTCCTGCAGGAGCCAGGGCTCCCGCTGCCATTAGCAGCTGCACACTCAGCTGAAGATATTTTAGCCCTGGAAAGCCTGTCTGATTAATCTTATTCTCATTGATTCACCAGTATGTCATTGTCTGGTTTTTGATGCAAAGTGGTGGTGGTTTTTAGTGGGTTTTAGGCAAATTATATTAAAAACCCCAGCATGTAGAATTAAGATTGAATGAARCTCTTTCTGTTGCTAATCAATCTCCCTTAATTCCATAAACATGTTTTTATTCTATCATCATCATTTTGGATTGAAGGGGACATTTTTGTGATTTACCATATTTCTAAGTCAGTTATCTTGGTTTTTCCTTTTGTTTTCCTCTCCCTCATTTGCATCTCAGTTGTAAGAGAAGCCTTTCAAGGTGAAACCTATTATTGATGTTGGGGTCAGTAATGGAAAATCCTGATGGGACTGGAGAGTGCCTGTTGTTCCTGGGATCCAAGGGGTCACTCAGTGCCTGGCATGTCCTGTCCCCAGTTGGTTTGGGCACACTGTGCTGGTGCTTTKCAGGGAGAGCAGAGCCCCCTGAGAGAGGGCTCTCCGTGGAGTGCACGTACACAGATCACTGCCAGGTTCCTGCCCCAAGAGATTGCTTTATTTCTGCCCAGATATTTGGGATCTCAGTGTCGTTCGTGCTAATTTTAAACTTGTGAGATGTTTCTCATGGCCTGTTTATAGACTGGTTGGCTCTTCAGAGGCCCAGAGGGACTTTTTCTGTAGAGCAAGCCTGAGAACTTCACTCGGGGAGACTCGCCAGGARCCCAAGTCTTTCCTTTTTTATACTCAAATGTACAGATCATGAAACAGTGAATCCTGCAGAYTTAATGCAGCTTCTCAACTCAAACTGATCATATAGATACTGAGGGAACTGCCCAAAAGCCTCCAAATAAAGAATGTGTGTGAGGCTGGAGTCAAAGATACCAAGAGACTCCAGTACCCCAAAATCTGTACCTTTTGAAAACTGCTGAGTGAAGATCTTCTCCTGCTGCCATGCTCCTTAAAAGTTAGGAGAAGACCATCTACATCCTTACCAAGGATAACTTATTTTGGAGAAGCCAGTTTTCACACCTGACTGACACAGTATGCAGTTCTTTCCTCCCTGGTTCTGCTGTGCTGAATTTGCAGCCTGACTGGATTCATTGTTTTGGAGCTTAAGGGGAGAGTTAAATCTCTCTTCTGCTTGGTAGTGCACATGCAGAGGTTTCATTCTGAAAACAAACCCCTCTGTGCTGAGGACTGAGCAGAAATAAAGGCAGAGAAACACACAGTCCTCTCTAAGGTTGTTATAGAAGGCATTGTGCAATAATACCTCAAATTATTGACTGTGTTTGGGTTATGTAGATGGACAAGATAGGATCTTTTCCCTGTGGTTCCTCAAATTCCAGTTTGGTGTGAATGAGTTGTCAGATCCAGCAGTTCACCAGAGCCAAGGCAGGTAATTGGTCACATAATGCTTTTGTAAATCTGTGTCCAGTTCTTGTGGTGAAACTGGGCTATGTGCACTTTGACTTTAATMGTCTTCTTTTATTTTCTCTATTTAAATAGATGCTGAAATTCCTTCTCCATTGTTCATCAGTTTGGGCTGTATAACTGTGTCAGTTGAGAATTTAGAGCAAGTGGAATAGGATCCTCTGTATTCATTCCTCCCATGTCCCCTTTGAAAGGATGTTTTTCTTCTTGGATCACAGCAACTTCTGCTGGAAGTATTTGTGGCTGGCATTTAGTGCATTTTTGCTACATTTAGATGATAAGWGTGACATTTGTGTGAACCCTCATCAGTGGAGCTTTTTTCAGCATTTTTGTCTTCAAAAGCACTCCAGGCTTTTAAATCTCATCTGTGGGAGGTACTTTGCAAGGGTTCATTAGGCATGAGCAGCAGSCTTTGATTTATTTGATGCAAACAAGCCTATCGTGTGAGATGCTGGCTGCTGTGGGACTGCAAGCAGTGAGAAATGGGGTCTGTCAGCAGCACCAAATGTGGCCTATTGGGACATAGCAATGGGCCTTCTGTGAGCTTATTGAGATCTTTAGCTTTGTTTTCATCTTTGATTGTAGCTGTGCTTTGGAGTGCTGGATCATGCTCTCTGCTGAAATGAAATCTACCTGCTGAAATGAAATTRTGAGCTGTTCATAAATTTCAGGAAGTACAAGGCTGTACACTCATTGAAAAAAATGGAAGCCGTACCTTCATTTCAAGGAGAAGAATTTTACCACTCACTATAGAGGGGTACACTAAAATCTGGGGATTTTTTTGTTTGGCTTTGTGTTGTTTTGCTTGGGGGTGGTGTGGAGTTGTTTAGGGCTTTTTCTGTATATCTTTTTCTAAAACTGGTATCACCTAGATCTTATTATCCAGTGTATCAAATTGGCCAGGGTATCCCAAATGAATGTTGGGCACCATAAGTTGGGTGCAGTTGCTGTCTCTCGGGTGCCTTGTTTTGGGAATTGTGTGAGGCCTGTGATGGTGATTTGTTCAGGAGATAAGGCTGGTGAGGTACCACAGGAGAATATTTTTATTTACAGCTGCAACATCCTGCATGTTTCCAGGCAGAGCAGTTACGAGCTGCTCTCTGGAGCTGAGGGGCAGCAGCAGGTTACAGGGTTAATGGAACAAAAAMCAACAATTTGTCTTGAAAACACACATTTGTGTCACAAACCATGAACTATTTAACACCTCAAAGACACCTACCAATGCCAGATTTGTGTACTCTAAGAAAGAACAGATCCTTGCATAWACAAAAACCACCAGTAACAGAGCTGCAATATAATTATTAATGTAGGAACTCACACTGGAATTTAAGAATCCATCTGGAGACAACATCAAGGGAAAAGGCGAACTGAAAAATTCCTGGCGTGCTTTCTAATGTGAAAATAACAAACTACCCTGTAACAATATGTGCTTGAGAATAAAGAATTGATTAGTATTGCTTAGCAGTAAGTGCATCTATTGCTTTGATTTCATCCACTAAGRTTACCTCAGTAAAAGCCTCAATTCATGGGTTCTCTTTCTGTATTTTGAAACATTTGGTGTTATTTAGGTTATTAGTACAACAATGGTTTAGGCAAAAAAAAAAAAAGAAATAGGTTGTGAAATAATGCTGTGACTATGAGGAAGCTCTTGTTAACATTGCAAAGAAAGAATAAACCCACATCCCTGGAAGAAAAAGACAGTTTTGATTATCTGAAAAATCAAAAATATCCATTTGGAACAGGGACGCTGGTAGTGACATGCAAAGAGTGTTCACTCCCCAGACCCCTGTGTTGGCTAATACATGGTAATCAAAGCACTGTGKGACCAGCTTTTGACAGCTCTGTTGGCAGGGCTGTGCATTTGTTTCAGTGTGAAACTCCTCTGAAACAAGGCATTTTCGTGTAATTTGGGTCTGGAAATGTTATTCTCCACAGAATAGTSCTGCTTCATGTTTTCCTTCCAATCTGGGATGAAAATATTGTCAAAATACTGGARTTGTGTTCCWAGTTAATGAAGAAGAAGGTTGTTCMGTGTTTGTTTGTTTATAATTCTTCCTCCAGCTGCRCTTCTGAGCCTTTCCAATACTTTTCTGTTTGTAGGAGACACCATCTGTCACGCCACAAAGACAGTCCWGGAGGAAGGTCCTGTGGAAGGTCCCCAAGCAGCTTTCCTCATGGGGTCACTGGGACTGTTTTGGGTAAAACCACTCCGTTGCCACTCCTGCCCAGTGCCGCAGGGTTTCACTGATGCACTCCCCTGACTGGTCTGACCCTTTTGGCTCCACAAATGCCCACATTCCCACASTTCYAGAAAGAACTGGAATCACTCTTGCYTTTTCCTGATGCTCACAAACTGGCAGAGTTCCAGAGACGAGGGCTCTACCCAGCTGTGCATTCAGAATTGCTTCTTCACACAGTGATGGAGGAAGTCATTCTTTGGTGCAGTAACTTTGTAAGTTAATAATTAAAAGTCCCTAAAACACTTTTCTTAAGCTTCAGCTGCAATTTCTAAGGTTTGAAACATCCAATATGCATTTTAAATTTTAGTAGAGCTTCACTTTGTAACTGCATAGTTCTYCGTATCTATTCAGGTTTGTAGTGAAAAGCAATGTGAGGCTTTGAGGAGGAGCATAATTCAGACCAGGGAGAGAGAGACCAAGTGCAAGGTGGTAATTCCCTCCTGGAGAGCCTGTTTGCCTCCTCTCTTCCCGTGCAGGTTGTTTCTTGGAGCTGTCCTACAGCACCGTGCTCTGGATCTCAGGTTTGTGGTGGGTGGGTTTAGTTGGACTTTGGCAGAAAGTCTTTAGAATCTTGGTTTTGTTGTTGCTTTTTAATTTTTTTTCTAGAGGCATCTGTGGGGTTTTTTATTTTGTTTCTTCCAAAACTCACGTAAAAMTCCTGTTATTTGGTTAAGGAAGAGTGTTTGCTGAGGAGAGCAATGACTTAGTGGTGAAAGCAGCCTCTGGGGGAGCAGACAGACCATTCTCCATCAGCAGGGCGGCTGCAAACTGAATTTATCTGGCAGAACTGTCCCATCTGGATGGGGAGATCCTTTGGGTACCCCCGAAGGCAGGGGCAGGCAGTGCTGCTGGCCCAGCTCAGGAGCTGCAGGGAGCCTCRGGCACAGCTCCTGCAGCTGCCACGGTGTCCCCTGGTGCTGGGCACGGGCTCTCAGCCAAGGAATGCCCAGCCAGAGTGGGCACTGCAGGGCCARCACCACCCTGTGCCTGCTGCAGGGCATGGCAGGGCCTGGGCACGGCCTTGGAGGAGCTCACAGAGGATTTGTCGCATCCCAGAAGCGCCAGGAAGCACCTGTAAAACTGTCACATGAAGAGAACAGCAAGTGAGCAGGGATTTAATTCATCTCAGGTTTTATAAGACAGGCTACATCTTATGGTCTTTCTATTCATTTAACCTCCTGGGATGGTGCAGAAACAACATGGATGTAATAATATCTTGTATTAGAGGTTGGAATGTTTTGTAGAAAAAAAAATGTCATTGTGCCAAGAGACCTTGACCTCAGCACAAGGAGTACAGAGGGGAGAGAGCCAGAAACAAAATTCTTGCACAAGTTACAGGYTTGTTGTAAGAGTTGTCCTGTGTTTTTATTGATTACAAATGTTACTGACTTTGTGGCATTGCAGAGAACAGAAGGCACTAAATGCTCTCCAGGCTGCTTTCGGGTGTGCAGGATCCTGTCACCTGCCTGAGCTGATGCAAACCCTGCTGTGGCACAGAGATTTTGGGGAGCTGGCAATCACTGATGATGGCCTGCAGTCAGGTTATGGATATATCCCATTGCTAAAATGTGGTATGGATTGAGCTAATGGAATTACCAATGAAAGTGATGCTGGCTGCTTTGATTTGTGTTTGGCCAGGGAAAAGATGAAAACTCAGTTTAAGCTCTCAGAAGGGGTTGGTTCAATATCCATAATTGGAGGGATTTTTTCAGTTGCATTCTGTGTATCTGAGAGCAGAGGGAATGTGCTGAGGATGAAGGTGAGGAAACTGCCTGTAGCAAAGAAATAGATATTTTAGATAGTATGGATTGTGTGCATGGCCTCCCTGCAGCTGTGGGGTCAAACACTGATCTCTCTACACTCAAGAATCCAAAACAACATTGCTGGTAATTCTTTGTACAGCACAGCTGTCAGCAACAAACTCTGACAACTYTTAYTATCAACAGCCAAGTGAAAAATCAKGCAGCTTTTTCATCAGCTGGGGAAAATGTTTTTTTTAAAGTTTTACACGGTTTTTTGTCAGCCGAGGTTCCTTTTTTTTAATGAGAAACAATTTTTTTCAGGAATAAAAACTTACTTAGTAATAAAAACAATCATAACTTTTTCATCAACCTCTCACCATTGAGCACTGAAATATGAAGCAGCTTCAAAACTTGTGGGGAGTACACTTTATTTTCTATTTTTTGCTTTGCCYCCTCCCCTCGTGGTCAAGTTCATGTGGCTCTTCCCAGGAACCTTTCTGTAGCTCTTTAATCCTCAGTAAATTTCTGTTACAGCTTGAGAGTCTCTTTAATCTGTTTAACCTTCACCTAGTCCTTGTCTGGATACATTTCCTCCATGTGAATATTATTTTATCTGGCCTGTTCTCGGATTTTATCCAGCCTGATTAGAGATTTCTGAGCATTTACCGAAGTAGGGGGGGAGCCTGGACACTGAATTGGTTTAGAAATAGCAGAGAATTAGTGGGAAATTTCAACTGTGTCACAGAATTAGTGGGAAATTTTAACTGTGTCACAGAATTAGTGGGAAGTTTTAACCTTGTGAGCTGTCAAGGCATCTCCTATAGATTTCCATAGCTCAGGAATGCTGTCTCTGTTAAATGTGGTTTTCTGGATGACCAGCACCTCCTGCTTTCACCTGCCTGCCACTTCTGGGTGTCTGCAGCCATGGGTGCAGCATCTCYTGCTCTGAGTTGCTTTACTGCCTTTTCTCCTGAGTGCAGAGAAACCCAGAGYATTGACTTCCTCTTCTGCACTGAGTAYAGAGCCCTGARCACTAAAATACTAAATACTAAAAAACTAACCAAAAACACCACAAAAAACCCTCCACTAACAAAATGAAGTGTRTGTGGAGCACTAGTAGTAATAGTTTGTGGCGAACTTGAGGAGCTTGACATGGATAAACCCAGTTTAATTTGTGTCTAGCTGCTGCCTTTCAGCAAGCATATTAATAAAAAGATTAATTAAGAATTGTCTGTGGARAACTCCTCTGCACAGGCTGTGTTGTTTTGGAGAGCTCTTCCCAGCCCATGCACACATTAAGATCAGCCTGTGATTTTTGCCCTGCCCCTCTGGATTTAACCAGGGTTGTACCTGTTTGAAGTGAGTCAGAGTTACCCTTCAGTGCTGGTGTGCTTGGGGCTTTTCCCCTGGGAAGGGATRGCAACAGCTCTCCATTGTGCCAGGCTGCCTCATGAGGGAATGTGTTTGGAAGCTAAATAATAAAGGAGAAGGGAAAGGAGTGTTCCTATCACAGAGAAGATGTCAGGGAATTCTGCAGGCGGCTGAGCATGAGCAGAGAAGGCACTGCACCCCCCTGGGCTGTTTGTGACAGTGAGTGGAGCTGATGGATGGTGTGGAGATGATGGATAGTGGCATGGAAACCTTCACTCCCTGGGAATTTCTYATGTCCCACTAAAAACACCCACAGCCACAGCCAGACTTAAATCAATCTTTTACCATCATCATTTGTTTTCCAGAGAGAGTGAGCAATTTACTCTCTGTGCTTCCTAACAGCTTCCAAAAATCATTTCAAGGGGACTCAGAGAAACAAATGATCCCCCTGCTATAATCCCAAAGATCAGTGAAATGTGCCTGAGTGTTCTGGTGGAGCTGGSACTGGAAGAGCTCTGATGCTGTCTGTTTTTCTCTGTAGATCTCTGTTCATCCTCACTTTTATTTTCCATCCCTGTGCAAGGGGCTAGCCCAGCTCCTGCCTGCTGTGTGCTGTCCCCTGCTCCAGGGCCAGCTCCTCTGGCAGTGCTTTTAGGCAGATCCTCTCTGATTGTGGCTCTCACCAGCCCTTCAGAGGGGAGAGCAGGACCGAAGAGTGGCTGAAGGATTTGAGAGGGGTTAGAAGAGTAAATGGGGAAAGAGAAAGTTGGGGTTGTGAAGGAGTTTCTGTGGGCTTGGTGTGGGGTAGCAAAGGCTCACATCCTTACGAGATTTCACACATCTGAGTCAGCTCAGACAGTTTCTGGTGCTTTCTCTCTTGCCAGAACACAGATTTCTACTCTCATGTTTAACTTGCTGTTTATCAAACTGTATAATGGACAGGAAGGACCTAGCATATGGGTGGAAGTGGTCATCCAACTTCCAAAAGTGCAGGTTTATCCAACRGATTTGCTTCTTGGAAACCTTTTCCAGAGCTTCCCTCTCATGGATTTCAGTGATGTCACTGATATCTCATTAGCTCCCCTCGCTGTTCTTTACCCCCTGCACACACTGAACCCGAGTGAAGGAAGGAGAGCGTCCCACGTACCTGTTTGTTGAGAAACACGTAGATGATGGGGTTGTAGACCGTGCTGCTCTTGGCAAGGATGGCTGGGATGATGCTGGCAGCAGGGCTGATGAGGCCAGGCTTGCCAAAGGTGGCTATGAGTGCCACAGCAGCRTAGGGCAGCCAGCAGAGGAGGAAGCACACCACCATCACCAGCACCATSACCAGGATGCGCTGCTCACGGCTCCGGCCCGGCCCTTTGTGGATGCTGCTGGCCTGGCAGGGACAGAGACACCAGAATGGCATTAGCACAGCTGGTATTGGGACCAGGGATGTGCATGGGAGTGGCTGCACTGAGGGCAGGGCTGGCAGTGCTACTTGAACCGTTCTGGCTGGAGAGGAGAGTGTGTTGTGTACTCAGTGTGTCCCAAACAGCTGGAACGGGACCAGCAAAAGTGCCCTTCATCCACAACAGCCTTGTCCAGCTCACTGTAAATCCCAGCTTTAACTGGAGTGTCCTGGGCAGGGGCAGGAGAAGGAATGTGCCCTGCTCTGAGCAGGGGACAGCTGGTCCAGTGCTCCCAGAGCCGCTGCCAGCCAGTCCTGCCAGGAGAGATCCCCTGCAAGGATGAGATGCCCTGTACCCACAGGAGAGAACAGGAAGAGAAGGGGATTCAGAGAACTKCCTTCCCTGAATCCATGGGAAAAATCAGCACTTGAATTATAGTGATTTACAACAGTGCTTGAATTAAAGTGATTTACAACAGGCTGCTCACACGTACTTGTAAGTAAATCACACTGTGTATAAACACTGCTGGCTGTGCCTCACCCTCRTTTCCTAGTTTTCAGACCCTCGTTTCCTAGTTCTCAGTGTGTTTTGCAAACCAGAGCCTTCAGTGGCTGCTGTGTACTGCCTGCACTGAGAAATGCTGCAGTAAGCACGAGGAACTAATTATTGCAAGCAGTTTTATGGGGAATCCATCGGGATGTGTTTGAGTGCTGGAAGTCACCTTGAGACTAATTAAAAAGCCTAACCAAAACTGTTCAAAAAATAGAACATATCTGTAATTGCCTGCCGAGGGAACTCAAAAATGAAGTGCTTTATAAATATCTTGTTAATGTGCAAATGAAATCTTTTATGACACTTGTCTGTGATTTAAAAGAAAAAAAAGTGGTATTTGCYACTAGGCAAATGAAGTTGTTAATCAAAATATTTCCATTAGTGAGAAGTGAATATTTCATTCAGAGCCACCCACAGGCATCAGTAGCTCAGATTTATTCACAGACATCTCAAACAGAAAGCTCACATTTATCTTCTTATATTGTAGCTCACAGAGTTGATAAGAATTTTGTCCACACCATCCCTGTGTGTGGATATTTTCAGTCTGCCACACCTTGTTATGAAACCTCACCAGACACTCAGGCTGTGTGATGAAGGTGAAACAGCTGGATTGGGGTGGAAGCAGGGATGGAGATGATAGAAGGGGTTGCATTTTGCACTGTGTGTGCTTGGTGTTTGAGGCTTCTGACAACAGGCACCAAAAGGCATCAGCACCAGCTGCCAGGGTTCTGTATCCCCACACAAATCCCAGGTTCTTTGTGCCTTCCTGAGATCTTCCTGTCCCCCCCTCCATGCCAGGAGACACCTGGGATGGGTGGTGGGCGATGGCTTGCATGTGGAACTCCTTGAGGAAAGCCAAAAGCTCCTTTTTCTTCTATTGATTTTTATCAGTTTTGGAAAAGGAAACCAAACAACCTCTTCCTTTAGCTAAGGTCAGGGAGGACAAATGTTTTCCAGATGTTCTCTAGATCCACATCAGTCTGGTTTGAGGCYGGGCATGGAAGGAGGACTCAGGAGGGATTTCCCATCAATAACCTKGAGCAGGGCTCTGGTCCCAGGGAGCTGTGTAATGCCTGATCTCCACATCTCTCTCTCCAAATCCTSATCCTGCAGTGTGGCAGCTGCTCTTGGCCACTGGCTTGAACATAAAGCCACTGGGRGACTTCTGCTGGTGTTTGCTCCCTTCTCAGGCAAACCCTACCCCAGCTATTGCTCTCTTGACTTTGGAAGTATTTTATCCTTTCCCAGAAAAAAAAASAGAAAAGCTTGCAGTTTTCAGACTGCTGATGCCAGGGAATGGCTTCACTGGTAAGCAAGGAAAGGTTTCAATTTCCTTGCCAGCAGCAGGAAATTATTATTTTCATCCTATGAGGCCAGAAAGTTYGAATATCCTCCCACTTCTGTAACTCTCCTTGAAGCATTTTTGCTTTCAATTACGAAGCTCCCCTGGTCAGTCAAGGAAACTTGAGATGTTCATATGTGGCACACATGCAGAAAATTTTTGCAAATCTAAACTCAGCAACCTTGAAATGTTGCTGCATGTAATCAGCAGATGGTGGCTTGGCTAAACCAGGTAACTGTGGGTTGGGCACAGATTTGGCATCAGATCACCTTCTGGAGGGGGGCAAAGCAAAGAGCTGTGTAAAAATCATTCTGCTGAGTGGTGCTGGGAGCTTTTAATTTAATTTAGTCTTGAGAACTTCCAGGAGAGGTAAGAGCACAAGTCTGGCTCATGTGGCTTTGTCTGTGTTTGTTGGCCCATGGAGATTGGAAAGTCAGCTCAGGCTGATCCTGGCTTAGGGTTAACAGAGCAATGCTGCTGCAGGAGTTTAGCCTGTGCTGTGTATCCTCTGCTGTTGGACAGGTGCCATGGTGGAGGTGACCATGAACACAGGACATGGTGCTGAGAAGCACCTCAAGGTGCAGAAGTGCTTAATTCGCCTTTTTTTAAATTTCACTGGCCATAATTGGGCACTGCACTGAGCCATCCTCCCATGCAGGAGCAGAAATGCTCACAAATAACATTTGTGTGGTGTGGCACTGGATGTCACAGACAGAAGGACACGGGTGAGTGACTAATGCAGCAAACAATGGGGACAGGTTTAAACAGAGGTCACTGTGGACACAGCAAATTCCTGCCTGATATTGCTGACACYGTGCAGAAATAACAGAGTCATCACTTTGCTAGGAAAGTAAAATACGTGTTTTCAGCACTGTGTATGGAAACTGCTCGGTGACATCCAGGCCTGAAGGGCACAGCTGAGTGTGCCCACAGCCACCTGGGAGCTTCAGCCGTGAAGAATTCCTGGCTCTGCAGGGTTATCTGAGTGACAGACTATGTCTTCTCTTGTCTTTTTGTGAAATCACCACACCATTTAGAGCTTGGAGAATTGACAAAGTCATGGGACTAGGGGGGTCATCCTTGAGAAATGTCAGAATATGGGAGATTAAGGGAAAAAACTCAACCAAACTGTGTCTGTGCTGGCCTGAGCACACCAGCTGAGCACACCAGTATTTCATGATCTGTCATAATAATATTTTTTAAGAGTTTTGCTTGGGGAGGAAATAAATGGCTGATGCTCCCCTATAGAAGTGTTGCGACAAGAAGTTAGATTTTACTTTTAAGGAAGTTTGTTTTATCCCTCCTAACATTTGAGCCTTTGAATTATGCTTAAAATCTTTTCACTGCAATCATAAATGCTAGAAACATGTTACCTGCATTCACAAAGAAGCATTCCTTTTCTTAAAAGCCCCATGCCCTCAATGCCTTGCCATGAAAATGAGAATGGGAAAAGCAAGCTGCCCCCTCTGTTCCAAGTCTGGTTTAATGCTTGTCTGTGAGAGGAGAGCTCTGCTCCTGATAGACCTGGGGCTTTTACCCCACAAAACAGATTTTACACTGATAGCCTTGAGCCCAGCAGGTCAGGCTGCRGGACAGCACAGGGAGAGCTGGGGAAAGGCAAAGCTGCAGATTCAAAATAACATGAGGCAAAAAGCAGCTTCACTGCTGGTTTGTCACTTGGAAACTTCTGCTTTCCACATTCCCAGCATGCTGATTACCTGCCCTAGGTCTGGTAAATTGACACTTTGTGAGGCTTAGCTTTATCATTGATGACAAAACCCTAAATTCCTTTGTCTGAGTGAAAGACAAYCCTTTTGTAGTGCCCTTTGTGCAACACTAACTGAGCCTTGTCCTGACTGGCCCAGGTCTTTCCTGTATGAAAGAGGACAATTAGAAACCCCTCTGATATTTTTATATATATATGTGTATTTCTGCATGCTTTGGAAGGGAGGGGGAGTGTGAGGTGGGGGTGATTTCTTGTAGAAAATGTGGAATGAAAAGGGGTTATCAGTCCTCTGAAGGTCACAGAAAATGCAGCCTCTTTCTCTGCAAGGGCAGCAGCGCTYCCTGCTCTGCCTTGGCAGGAACACCCAGCAAAGCTGAGCTGGTCTGGAGAGWGGAGATGGAAACTGATTTCAAACAGTGGTGTTCGTTTCAAAGGCAAAACCCCACAATTATTCTCAGGGCTGGGAATCCTTGCTCAGGATTTCCAGGGCAGAAGCAAGCCTGTCTGTGGGCTGTGGACAGCCTTACAGTAGCAGTTGCACCTTTCTTCCATAACCACAGCATTCTTGATTCTTGGTTTCTTGCCTGGGAYTGAGTGTATTTTTATGGATAATGGAACACCTTATGCACAGGAAGGAACAGCACATCTGTAAGAAATTGCTTTTGCCTCCAACTGTTAAATAATTTCAACCAGAATTYCATCCTTCTTTTGCAGAAGAGGTGTTAGGCTGAGGGAGCTGAGCCTGAGTTTGGCTTCACTTAGGAGGTTTTCCCTGCTCAGGATTTCTGGGCTGCCCTGCCCAAGCAGAGATTCAAGAGCAGATGTCTGTGACCTGCACAGCTGAGAGATGTCCCCWCTCTTCTGAGGGCTTGGGAAAAGGAAAAGAAATCCTCAGCCAGATGAACACATTTTTGTCACTGAAGTCTGATAACAATCCCGGTGATTTTTCTAGTCAAACACTTCCTTTTTCCTATGCTATTTYCTTATGCTATTTTACCTTTTTCTCCTTCAGTATACTGGGACATATTTTGGGTTGCCCTGAGCATCTCCTTGCTTTTGGAATGCTGTGGAGGCTTCTGCTTCTGGCTGTGCTGCAGGGAAGGGACCCAGATTACAGATATTGTGGCCATCCATGATGTACAAATATTTTGTGCTCCCAATCCCACTCATGCTTGTCCATCAGCTTCAACCCCAAATAGAGTGTATGTTCCTGAACCTTAATGATTTGGGGCCACACCAAAAGCCCCAAATTTGCCTGGTCACACAGAGGGGACAGTGGGGGACACCCACTGCTTTGATGGTCCAAACGAAATTTCTGACCCTCGGGCTGCGCTCCTGCTGCTGCCCAGCACTAGCAGTTGGGTGAA